TGGAGCTACCGGAGGGGCGTAAGGCGATTACGTCCAAGTGGCTCTTCAAGATCAAGTCCGACGCCGACGGCAAGATCGAGCGCTACAAGTCTAGGCTTGTGGCGAAGGGGTACCAGCAGAAGAAGAAGGTGGACTATAAGGAGTTGTTTGCTCCTGTGGTGAAGCCGACGACGCTGCGAACCCTACTCGCGGGAGCTGCCATCAAAGGATGGGTAGTAAAGCAAATGGACATCGTAACGGCATTCCTTAACGGCATCCTTGAGGAGGAGATTTTTATGGCGCAGCCAGAGGGGTTTGATGATGGTAGTGGCAGAGTGTGGAAGCTGAAGAAAGCCCTCTATGGGCTGAAGCAGGCCCCTAGGCAATGGTACATGAAGCTGCGCGAAGTGTTGGAGGGGATCGGCTTCACTCCCTCAACGGCCGATCACTCCTTGTTCATGCTTGGCGAGGGGGAGCAGAGGAGTTTCATGGTGGTTTATGTGGATGACATCCTCATTTTCTCACCCTCTTCTGACCTTGTGAAGGAGGTGATGCTGAAGCTTCAAGACAAGTTCAAGTGCAAGGCCCTTGGTGACGTGAGCTTCTACCTTGGGCTCCACATCGAACGAGATGTGGAGAAGCGGTGCATGCGGGTGCATCAACGAAAGTACCTGGAGGCATTGGCTGCCAACTTTGGGCAGAGTGAAGGCCATGTGGCTACACCCTTTCCCTCTGGGTTCAAGTGTGTGAAGGGACCAGAGGAGGAGAGCGTTGGTGAAGAGGAGAGGCGCCGATTTCACTCGTTGGTGGGCAGCCTCATGTATGCGGCGGTAAACACCCGACCGGACGTCGCGTTTGCTACCGGGCAGCTGGCTAGGGTTGTGCAATGCCCTAATGAGGAGCAGGTAGCAGCTGGAATGAGGGTGGCCAAGTATCTTGGCCAAACACCGACCGTTGGGCTGCAATACTCGGCGGCGGCACAAAGGCGCCAAAAGGGCGCGGATGGTGTTGAACCCGGGCGTTTGTTCCTCACCGCCTACTCGGATGCTTCATATGCATCAGATTCAGAGGACATGACAAATGTGGGAGGCTTCATATGCTGTGTTGGTGGAGGCCCAACTGCTTGGGAGAGCAAGAAGCAGGTTGACCAAGCTTTGAGCTCGGTGGAGTCCGAGTACATGGCACTCTTCCGTGCCGTACGGGAGATTGTGTGGCAGCGGCGTTTGTTGGCTGAATTGGGGGAGGAGCAGCAAGGACCTACCCCACTATACTGTGACAGCCAGGGTGCCATTGCTCTTGCTAAGAACCCTGTGTTGCATGGACTCACGAAGCACATGAGGGTGAAGTGGCATTGGACGAGGAGCATGGTAACCGCGGGTGAAGTTGAGTTGCGCTACGTGAAGACCACGGGGCAGCCGGCTGACATGATGACCAAGAGGCTGGTGGAGCAGCAGCATTGGAAGTGTTGCAAGCTGGCTGGGATGGCTCTGAACTGAGAGAGCAACATATCCTAAGGCCAACAATCCGAGGGGGAGTTTGTTGGTGCAACCCTACGGTTTGCACTCGGCTTGTTGTCCGTGTGCGTGAATGTGTGTGTGTATGGAATGGTATGAGGGCATGGGATAATATATATTTCATGCTTATAATTTTGTGTGAATGTTGAGTCATGATGTCGAGTGTGTGTGTCGAGTCAATAGCGAGTTATCGCTAGACGCGTGTTACGCGGTCGTTTGTGTCTCGCGCGCGGTTTCTATTTTGTCGTGCGCGGTTTCTATTTTGTCCTGTGTCGAACGTTCGGCGTGTCGCAGGTGTGTGCAGCAGACCCATCAAGAACTCAAGGATGAGTTTGTGATGAAGAGCCCGAGCCTTGGTGTCAAGCCTCAAGTGATTTCGAAGCTCGCCAAAAAGGGTACACCTCAAGATATTGAAGACATTTACATTACTTTGTGTAGTGTAACATTTCACTTGGTGTAGGCCCTAGTGAAGGGTAGTTTCGAGACCCTTCGTGGTTGGGGACAGTGTGGCACTGTTCCACATCACTGTACCTCGGCTCTTGGGGTTTGTAGGAGCTGGGAGTCATTCCCAACTCGTAACTCTTCCTATCTTGTGTTCTAAGACTATAGTGGCTGCCATAGTACCGTTCGTTCAAACCGACGCTGTGTCGTCAATTCTTTATCAAATCGTGCAATCTAAATTGATAATTGTAGACGACGTGAAGACGCTCCAGATCCAATTTGAATCAAGTCATTTGCAGCTGTGAGCAGAACGCTATCAACGTTTGAAGCCGCTGTGCAGAAATCTGTCTGTGCTCTCTATCTTTCGTTTTAGGCACATTCAAGCCTATTGTGACTATAACAAACAGGCGCTCTCGCACTGGTTACATCTACCGCCTCGAACCTATCGGACCTATCTCTTGGCAGTCGAGCAAGCAGGAATTAATCGCCCTCTCGTCAGCTGAAGCAGAATATATTGCGCTCTGCTCAGCCACCAAGGAAGGACTTTACCTTCGCGAACTGCTGGAAGAAGCAAAGCTGGCTCAGTTACCCAGCTTCACTCTGTTCTGCGACAACCAGTCGGCAATTCGCATTGCCAACAAGAACGGCTTCGCGAACAGGACGAAACACATCGCCCTGCGATATTTCTTCGTAAAGGACGAGATCGAGAAAGGGAGGCTCGAGCTGTCATACTGCCCCACGTCCGAGATGGCAGCTGACTACCTGACCAAGAAGCTCGGAAAACAGAAGTTCGAGTACTGCATGCTGCTGACTGGACAGAGCCACGTCACCAGCAGCGACACTCCAGAAGCGAAGGGGAGTGTTGGAAACAATCGATCTTAAGCGCCTCTGTCGTGTCGAAAAACTAAGGCACAAACGAAGCGAAGCATATCGAAGCACCGGCGAGTCAACCCTCGAAGGTTGAAAGTAACAGTTGGAGGTTACGCGAAAGTCAAGGGTCAGCGACCTTTGACCTGACAAGTACAGCGCGACAGCAAGGACACACAACTGACTCGCTACAGAGCAGTTGCCCGAGTCGTCACTGTATCGAACCGCAACAGCAACAGTAAAGTAGTTACAACCGCATCTCTTCGTATTCCTTGTACTCTTATATAATCTTGTATCTCTTTGTTTTAATCAATCGACTTTGCCCTCACACACTAGCGCAAGGTGGTTCAAATACTTCTCATTAAAGCTTCCGCTATTACATCAGTCCTACCCAGAGTTCATCCCTGCAAAGATCCTAAGGGCTTTTCTCAGCCCAACACCCTTATATGTAGACGAGTCTTGCAGTAGCGTGAAAACCGCAGATCTCGGTCGAAGTGATCTGACGGTGTAGAAAACGTTGACTGTCGAGTTGACGCGAGGCTGACTAGTTGACCAGGCGAAACTGGATAGAGTTGGAATGTCAGCCGTCGAATTTTCCAGATGTCGATATGGCGGTTGCGATCAAACTGTCGAAGAGAAATCCGCAGGTGCATGAATGCCGTGATGTAGCGGTTACGAACGGACGGTGCCGATGAACGCGATTTTGGCGGAAGTTCTGACGCATGTCAGAGGTTGACGAACAAAATCCGTCGATGTCGATGAAATGGAACTCGAGCGTTCATCGTGATTCTCGAGTCTGACACAAATGTCAGAGTCTGCTGAGACTGTCAGAAAACTGTTGAGCAAAACAGCGGCCAACTTCATACATACTCAAAGTTTGTCTGAGACCGTTTGCAGGTGTAATCAAGCGAACAGTGAGCCTAACAGTGGCACTGTTCCCAGCAGAATTTTGTCTTGGCGCGCCACCCACGCCTTCACCAGTTCACCCACGTTGGTTCACTACAGTGGAGGAAGTACAGACATGTCCGAACCGAATCTCAAACCACGCACACAACTGGCCCCAAAACGAGCCCCAAACCAAAGCGCCAACGCGGTCTCAATTTCAACAGACGGGTGTGTGGGGCTGGGTATGCAAGGGGAAAACGCGGAACGGGCGTGTGGGGCGGGTTATGCAAGGGGAAGATGCGGAATGCATATATGCACCCTTCTAATGTGAACCCCGCCCTCCTTAGGAGTTCATCCCGTTCTCTTCATTTTCCCCCCTGCTCCCTGCGTCCTCTCCCCTGCTCCATTCAGTTACCCCCCTCCACTCTTCATTTCTCCCCCTGCTCTCTTCCGTTTCCCCCTTGCTCCCTTTAGTTACTCCCCTGCTCACCGCCTCTTCCCCACTGCACCCTCCCCCCTGCACACTGCAGTTCCCCTCCCCCCCCCCCCAGCATTGCAGTTTCACCCCTGCACCCTCCCCCCTGCACACCGCAGTTTCCCCCTGCCCAGCCTGCTGTTTCCCGCACGCGAAAACGCAGTTTCCCCCCTGCACCCTGTAGTTTCTACCCTTTGCACCCTGCACTTTCCCCCCTGCACCTTGCTTCTCCTTGAATTCCTCTCGTAGTTTCGAATTATGGATCCTCTCTTTCCTCCAATGTCTCCTCTCGCTGCTGCTTCCTCCCTTTTCTTCTTCTCACGAGTTCCATTCCCTTCCTTTCATTCTCCGCCTCGCCTCCCCTATGTGGCAGATGTTCTGCATACAGGCAGCAACACAATCCCCTGCCTATCCCCAACGACGTGCCCTAATGCGCCAACTTCCTCACACATAGCGCCGATGTCAACGCCTCCCCTCATCCACCAATACACCCTGAACCATTGTGCATGACAATTTGCAAGCACCAAGTAGGTTTGTCTCATGATTTCTAACACTGTCTTGAACAGTAGTTGAAACAGTATACAAACACCTCTGTAGCATCTTTCTTTAGCACCTAATACCGGTAATTGGGGTTTCACACCATCTAGCTAGCTAAACATGCTCAGTTGGCTAGAGCTCCTGGCAACTAAACATGGGCCTTTCAGAGGAAAGCGATTCCTGAATTGTGGGAGATGGAGTCGCTTCTCATGCAGAGGGGGATGTTGGTGGGAGGTGTGTGATGATAACCCTCCATTCTCGTATGCACTTCCTGTGCCTATCGCCCTCCGCTCGTCCCCTGTTCAGCGCTCCCTCCCTCCTCTTTGTACCATCCTCTCCAACCTAACACCAACAGTGGGAACTGATGCTGCTGAGATCTGAGACATAGTGGGTGGGTACACGGAGGAGTGTGCGAGGGGTGCCAGCGGTGCGCCTGTGTTGGAAGGGGTTTGCTGGAGAGGACAAAGCAGAGGGAGCAGCAGGAGGGATGCTAGCCGAAGCACGGAGGGGGAGGGGGGGTAGTGGAGGGGGAAGAGGCAGGGAATGGTGGTGTGAGGCGGAGCAAGGTGCGTGTTCCTAAGAGGCGAAGAATCCCCCCACCCTGTCCTTCACCACCATGTGCACTAGACTGTGGAGGGGAAGGGGTGAAGCAGAGGGGGAATAGACTCTGTCTCCAACGCAGCGGGGTGAGGGGGAGGAGCGGGGCGGGAATAAATGGGCAGCAGGAAGGGCGTGGAGCGCACTGGCAGAAGTGGCAGCAGACGGGAGCAATCAAACAGGGGAGTGAGAGCAAACAAACAAGCAGGCACATACAAGCATGCACATACACATGCGTGCACATAGACATGCATGCACCTAGACCTGCATGCACCTAGACATGCATGCACATAGACATGCATGCACATAGACATGCATGCATATAGACATGCATGCACATAGACATGACGGCACATAGACATGCGTGCACATAGACATGCATGCACACAGACATGCACACTCATAGACATGCACCCACCCACCCACCCACCGAGCCTCCCACCCACCTGCGCACCCACCCACGCACCCACCCATCCACGCACATACAATCAAAGGACAAAATGTGACGGTGATGTGCGGTGTAGTAGACTGCATCACAGGGCGATGTGCACGCGAACAGAGGTGTCACAGAAGCGCGGCGACCGATGCCATACTAGCAGGGCGCGCGCCTGGTGGTGGGGAGGGGGATGGGGAGGGGGATGTGGAGGGATGCAAACCGAAGGAGGTGGGGGGAGTGAATTGGCCTGAATGTACTGTGGCGGGAGGGGGACATAAGGCCGTGAAATGTGTGGGGAGCAAAGTGGAGTGGCGGTCGAGGAGACACTGCAGGGAAGCAGGGAAGGGGAGGGGGGGAAGCAGAAAATCGGATGGGCGGAAGCAGGGCTTGGGAGAAGGGGAAAGAATGAAGAGGATGGGGGGACGCAGGGAGGGGGATGGGGGGAAGACGGGAAGGGGAAGGGGGGAAGCAGGGCAGGGGATGGGAGGAAGCTGGGCAGGGGATGGGGGGAAGCTGGGCAGGGGATGGGGGGAAGCAGGGCAGGGGGTGGGGGGAAGCAGGGAAGAAGACATGGGGAAGCATGGACGGGGAGGGGGGGAAGCAGGGAAGAGGACATGGGGAAGCATGGACGGGGAGGGGGGGAAGCAGAAATGCGGATGGGGGGAAGCAGGGACGGGGAGGGGGGGAAGCAGAAATGCGGATGGGGGGAAGCAGGGCTTGGGATAAGGGGAAAGAATGAAGAGGATGGGGGGACGCAGGGAGGGGGATGGGGGGAAGAGGAGGCGGGGAGGGGGGGAAGCAGGGCACGGGCTGGGGGAAACCAGGGAAGGGGATGGGGGAAAGCATGGAAGGGAAATTAGTGGGCGGAAGGAAGGCGATTATTGGAGTGAGGGAAAAGAGGGAGTAGGGGGAGAATACGTAGGGTGACACGCGTGCGAGATGGGAAGGGAGGCGGGAGGGAAGGCGAGGAGACGAGCAGTGGATGGCAGGGCGATGGGGAAAGGGAGGGCGGCGGTGCCTCATTGGCGGGGAAAGCGAGGGCGAGGGGGAGAGAGGGAGACACGGATTGCGAGGGCGACAGGGAAAGAGGGAGACAGGGAAAGCGAGGGGACGAGCCGAAGGGAGACTGACGAGAATTACGGACGGCGACGGGAAGAAGCGCGGGCGACGGGAAGGGAGGGCGACGGGAAGGGAGGGCGACGGGAAAGGAGGGCGGGGGAAGGGAAGGCGACGGGAAAGGAAGGCGTGGTATTGGGGTGCAATACCGTCGAGGCCAATGCGCGTGAAGCAGTGGGCGAGGCGGGTGTGATACCGGGTGCAAATCGCGCGCAGTGTTTTTCTCACGTGCGATTTCCAGGGCGCCTCTCTCCGCAACGGCATCGGAGGACTCCGACATTCCACTTGCGACGTGCAAATTATCCGCTCGGTCCGACATTAGAGACATTGTAGCTAGATGTGAGAGCTTTTCACGAGGCTAGATGTGAGAGCTTTTCACGAGGCAGGGAGCAGAAATACTTGAAAACAGAGTAGCTGTGACTACTGGAGGGCTGGAAACTTGGCTGGAAAGTCTTAGCAGGGCTGCTGGAATTGACTGGATGAGGTAAAACTTCACTATGTTCAAGATTAACAAGCCCACTAAAGCACAACTCTATAGGCATCACAAAAAAGACAGATTGAGAGCTCAAACTAGGCTGATAGACAATGTAACTTCCCTGGTAACTTGGGCACAATCTAGATTGCATGGACCTTGAGTGACTTTGAGTGCCACATGAGGTGCATGAATAAGAAAACTCTGGATATTTCTGTTATAGCTGATTCTGATGTGTAGAAACCTGTAGAAACTCCCAACACTTCGGTTTGAAGTCAACTCCGAACTGTATCGAGACTTCGGCTGAAATCCGATTGGTTGGGAAAGTTTCCGAACTTTTCGCGAAGCCTTCGATCCATCCCCCCCTTGCTGCTCCTTGTGTGCAAAGGGCTGGGGCGGCAGAATCTCGACTCTCCAACACTCCCCCTCGCACCATACCCGAAGCACACATACACCCATGCTGATGCTCCTCTCACATCTCCTTAGCATACACACCGTGCTGCTGCCCACGTCTCTTCTCCTCACACTCCTCATTCTCCTCAAACTGCTCCACTGCTTCATGAAGTGTCATGAGGCCTGCTCTTGCCTTGCACATGTTGAATGCATCATGTGGAAGAACCTTGGTCATGAAATCTGCTGCTTGATCGAATGAACGGCAAAAGTTGACGGCGAGAACTCCCTTCTCTAGTTGCTCACGAATGAAGTGGTACTGCACCTCGATGTGTTTTGTACGCCCATGATGAACCGGGTTTTTGGAAAGAGCTATGGCTGAAGTGTTGTCCACGTAGAGCGGAGTTGGTTGAGTTTGCGGCTGCCTCAAGTCCTCCAAGAGTCCACGTAACCAGATTGCCTCCCTTGCTCCTTCGGTCATTGCCATGTACTCAGCTTCGGTTGTTGAAAGTGCCACACAACTTTGCTTGCGCGATTGCCAAGAAACAGCGGCACCACACATGAGGAAGATGTAGCCGCCGGTAGACTTGCGTGTGCTCAATTCTCCCGCCCAATCTGCATCGGTAAAACCTTGGAGGGAGCTTGCATATGGGCTGGCTTGGAAGAGAAGACCATGATTAGAAGTACCTTTGAGATACCGAAGAGCTCGCTTGGCTGCATGCATATGAATAGGTGAAGGGGCACTCACGTGTTGAGCTAGCTTAGATACCGTGAATGCTAAGTCGGGCCTTGTGCATAGGGCTGCATACATGAGACACCCAACCTGACTTTGGTAGAGAGCTAGGTCTTGTGGGGATACCTTCAGTGAATTCTCACCATGATGCTCACTCTCCTCAAGACACAACTCCTTAATACCTATGATATCAAGGCTTGACTCTCTCTCTTCATAGGGCTGATGTGAAGACAAAGGGACAAAGTTGGAAGGAAGTGGGGTAGGTGATGGCTTGCTATCATCAAGACCAAACCTCTCAAGGACCTTTTGGATGTACCTTTGCTGGAATAGGAAGATGGACCGTGACTTATGATCTCTCACAATGTTCATACCAAGATAATGACTCGGCTCACCAAGATCGGTCATCGTGAATGCACTCGTGAGATTACCTTTCACCTTGTTGAGAAGATCAAGAGAACCTGAGACTAGGAGGAGGTCATGGACATATACCAAGAGCCAAATGTACTCCCCCTCACTCGTATGCATGAAGTACAGAGCGTTGTCTCTCATGGACCTTGTGAAACCATGCTTGAAAAGTACCTGCTCAAGAGCATGATACCAAACCCGTGGGGACTGTTTGAGACCATAAAGGGACTTTACCAAGCGACACACTCGACCCGTACCGTCATCATAACCTTCGGGTTGTGCCATGTATACCTCTTCTTCCAAGACACCGTAGAGAAATGCGTTCTTGACATCCATTTGATGGATATGGAGACTAAGATATGCGGCTATGGCGAGGAGGACTCGTACCGTGGTGTACTTTGCTACTGCGGCAAAGGTTTCGGTGAAGTCAAGACCTGGAATTTGGGAATAACCTTTTGCCACTAACCTTGCCTTGTACCTATCGAGGCTACCATCACCTTTTACCTTGATCTTGTACACCCATTTGACACCAATTACCTTCTTCCCTGGAGGTGGCTCAACAAGACGCCATGTACCTCGCTTCATGAGACTCTCAATCTCTTCTTCCTCGGCTTTCAACCAATGCTCTCTCTCGGGACTTGCCATTGCCTCACGACGACTCAAGGGCTCTCGCGGAAGGTGTGATGCTGCCATGCATATTGCCTCTACCTTCTTGTGACTGCAATTCTCACTCTCCTCACATGTGCACCTTGATGACATGTCAACCATGAAAGTGAAGGGTTTTTTTTACCTTGCGGACTCGTTTACCTTTACCAAACTCCTCACTTGGCTGAGACACATTAGTGGTAGGGTTCGGTCTCACAGTGTTTGATTGCGTTGATGCGGTCATTTGCGGCTGAGACAACGGCTGCGACATCGGCTGCGACGGCGGCACGGCTGCTTGTTCTTCTCCTGGCGTGGAAATATCTTGATTATCGGTGTTGACTTGAGGATTAGGTATGGTGACTCGTGGCGGTGAAGCTGAAACGTTTGTCGGCATAGTTGGTTGTGAAGATGCTCTTGGTGGGGATCTTGAGACTAGAAGCTTGGGAATTGATGATGACGCTGCCTTGTCGAGAGGTGGTGATGGTTGGGGCTGGTTGGTGTTGTTGCTCGGTGTTGAAGATGGTGGTAACTGATGACGACCGAATCTGGGACGTGGGGGTGAAGTTGAGAAAGGTCTTGGGTGAAGAAGTGGGCTGTTGGAGCTAGTGTTGGTGGTGACTCGCTGAAGTGATCCTCGTGCTATGAGCTGGCTTGACGTTGGAACAAGTGATGAACGTGTGGTATGAGAACGAGGTGTTGCGGTGACGGTTGACTTGTTGCTAGGAAGAGTCGTAGATGGTGTTGATGTAGGTACTTGGGGTCTTGTAGCTGTTGATTGCTGCTGCATGGGATGATGTTGAGCTTCTGTAGTTGCCTCTGGAGTGATGGCTGGTGATGGGTTTGATGGCGTAGTGGTGGGCTGATCCGGTTGGCGTTGAAATTGTGAGGTTGGTGTTGATATAGCTGGCTGGTTTGTGACTGTTGGCTGCTGCTCCTTTGGTGGTGATGGAACGGTGACTTGCTGCGGTGGATTGTCTTCATTTGATCGCTGAACTTCATCTCCACTTGGTTGAGTAGCTTCTGGTGGCACTGGCGTGGCACGGCTGGACTCGTTGACGACGGCTTGAGGGAGATCGATGATCGGTCTGCTATGGTCAGAATCGGTGTCATCTTCTTCCTCCTCTTGTGTTGTTTCCTCAGGTGCGCTTGCTGGTTCCTGTTGGATAGAGGGTAGAGAGGAGGAAGAGGAAAACTTATGCCAACCTGCAAGGGACATGTCTTCATAGAAGACAACATCCCTTGAAACCACTTCTCGCTTGGTGACAGGATCCCAAAGGACCCATCCCTTGCTCTCATTGCTCATGCCGATGAAGAGGCCCCAATGAGCTCTGCTGTCCAGCTTGAGTCTCTTTGCATCTGGAACACGGTATTGGGCCATGGAACCAAAAACACGAAGCATAGACAGATCTGGTTTAACTCCAAACCAAGCCTCATATGGCGTTACACCATCTGGTAAGGGCCTTGTGGGTCTCCTGTTGCGAACATAAATTGCCATAGTGACTGCCTCACCCCACCAGAGCTTGTCAAGGCCTTTGAACTGAAGGAAAGTGGTAGCTATAGCCTGGATAGTGCGATGAAACCTCTCTGCCACTCCATTTTGCTGAGGAATATAGAGACAAGTGAACTGTTGTTTGATGCCCAATGCCAACAACTCCCCCTGAAACGCTTTCCCCATGTACTCACCTCCTCGATCCGACCTCAAGGTGAGTAACTTCTTCCCCGACTCTCTCTCAACAAGTGCTAGCCATTGCTTGAAACACTTGTGAACTTCATCCTTGGTGTTGATGAAAAATGACCACGAGAAACGACTCTTGTCATCAATGAAAGACACCAAATATCTCTTACCGTTTCGAGTAGGGTCTCGCATGGGGCCGAATACATCAGTGTGGACCAACTCTAGGAGGTCCCTTGACTGAGACTTAGAAGGGAAGAATGGCTTTCTAGCTAGCTTACCTTCCACACAAGATGGACATGGAACGGAAGAAAGGGACTTGACTGCACTTTCACTCAAACTCAATCCTTCCACGCTCTTGTGATTTACCAACTCTTTTAATGCTTGCACTCCCACGTGCCCCAAGCGTGCATGCCATACCTCAGCTTGGGAGATACTCCCTTTGTTGTTGACTTGATCGGTTGAAACAGCGGGAAGCGAGACAACGTCGTTCTTCGTGTTGCTAGCACCGCGCTTAATCTCCAACTTCATCTTGTAGAGCCGCCCGGTACGCTCGCCTTCAGCCACCAGATTTCCTGCACTGTCCCACACTTTGGCTTTCCCCCCTTGCAAGAGAACGGAGGCACCTTTCTCTTCGAGTTGTCCGGCTGAGAGCAAGTTTGCTCCCAAATCAGGAACAAACAAAGCTTTATTGACACAAAATGACTTACCATCCTTTTCGAACTCAAGCTTGCCGACTCCTTTGATTGGTACTTTGCCAAAATCAGCAAGAGTCACAGCTTTTGAGTCATATGAGGGCTGAAAATTCTTGAGAATGGACTGATAGGGAGTCATGGTTTCAGAGCAGCCACTATCAAGAATAAACTCCTCACTACTAGTAGAGAAAACGTGCATGCAAGTAGCAGCGTTAAAAAGGACAGGACCATCGGACTCTTTGGACTCATCTT